GCAGGTTAAAGTTCAACTTCAAATCGTATATAATACCTATAATGAGCCAATATTTCGTGATAAAATATCAAAAATTGTGGAAGTTATATACGATTTGAATTTAAAATTTGATCTTCAATAACTTTTAGCCGAGTCGATTAAATGAAAATACATATCAGAGCTTTTTTGAAGACCGTTCAATTTTCTACAAGAATAGGTACTGATTTTTACAAAACGCTGATTTTTTAGAACGCAATAAAATAAAAAAAAAAAGATTTTGTTTCCCCATGTTATTTAAATGGGAAATAGAAAATCAGCATGAGGCACCTCTTAATATTAAACTTAAAAGCTCAAATTTTACCAGAATTTTTTTTCATTATCCTGAACGATATTTTCACGGTAACTAAAGAGAAAAAAAAATTTGGTGCACCCTAATGTGCATATATTGAATATATTTAATTATTTCATTTCATAATAATGTATTTAAGAACTTTTTTTACCAAATTTTAACTTCAGATTCTTCAAAGTTTAGAAAATGTTTATATATAGAGAATATAATGTGAAATTTGTAATGCCATCTTTTCAAATAGAGATTAAAACACAGAAACAAAATCGGTGAATTGTTTTTTTTTCAAATATCTTTCAAAGTAATCGTATTTTTAGATTTCTAACCATGACGTAGGTTACAAAGACAAAACTTTAACTGTCTTTGTATCTCTTTTGGATTAAAAGATCCTTGTCTTCTGCATTTCATATATAGAACACTGTATAATGAATGTCGTAACTATGGCTTACTTGTTAATCTCATCGTAGTATAGAACACAGTGCCTTAATCGGTTTGCCACAACCTTACTCTGTGGCTCTGTATCATCCAATATATTCTTTAACTTTTCGCAGAGTATTTTACATAGCGTCGTTGCAATTGTCGTGTGTTTGTAAAACAAACAATCTATAGCTAAAATTATTGTAATAAAATAAATAATCGTAATAGCGAATATGATGTAGATGAGCTTTACACTATGTCCCCGGATTGTCTTTACAAGAGGAAAAGCTTTTTATTATTGACATCTTGAGAAAAATTCATTCTTCATAAAAATGTTTGCTTCTTCTAAAATGGTTAATCCCATTCATACTTCCAAATATCCATACCGTTTTAGAGAAAATAAAGAAAAAACTGAAACTAGATGAATTTTGGTCCTAAAGATCCTAAAAATCAAAACGCGTTTCTATGGTAAATATAATTTCTTTTCCATTCTTTGAGAGATTTTTATTGACAGAATTTTAATTAACGTCATAATTTTTGCTGTTTTAAAATGTTAAAGAAGCACAAAATCTATTTAGTTCAATGCTACGGAAAGGGCGACAATAGTTATGGAAAAATGTGATTCTTTAATCAAAAAATATGACGTTAATCAAAATTAATTATAACGATCTATCAAAGAATAAAATCGAAATTATAATACCATAGAAACGCCTTTTAGTTTTTAGGACTTTTGGGAAAAATTCAACTACATTTTCAGTTTTTTTTTAATTTTCTCTAAAACGGTATGGCTATTTGGAAAAGTATAAACGAGAAAAACCATTTTAGAACAAGCAAAAAAAATATGAAGAATTAATTTTCCTCAAAATTTCAACAATAAAAAGTGTTTCCTCTTACGAAGACAAATCCGGGGATATACTGTATAATCTATCCAACCATATAATTCTAACCTCATATGACTACAGTTGCTGAAAAAAATGACTTACATGAGTTAGTCCAGGCACTGATCGCCACCGTCAGACATTCTCCAAAATAAACCAGCAAATAATAATTATCAGGATTAAAAGGAAACTCCCCTGGAAAAGGGTAGTTTTTCTTTCCCGGCCGTTTTTTATCAATGGCCGGAAAAACACCATAGAACACCACCACAGCCACGCAAAGAACTAAAAACATATCAGTTACTCTCTGACATTTTCGAAAATCCTTTTTTATGATCTTCAATTCCTCCGTAGTTGTTTTCCTGAAGATATTTTTAGAAATCATTTCTTCCAGGGTCACTACGTGTTTTACTTTCATGTGGAAGTTGATCAGTTTGTTAATGAATGATACTTGGGTCATGGAAAATAGAAATATTTCGGAGATGATGGCCAGGGTGGTGGAGTGGAAAGCCAGGCTCATCATTGTCCAGTACTGGCCGATGGTCAAGAGGTAGACTACGGTAGTGGCTAAGTTGATCAGCCATTTGCATTTGAGGTCGTTGGGGTATATTCCTATTATAGCCAAGCGGAATTTTTCGCCTTTGATAAATCTGGAGTGGTCGAAAATCTAAAAAAAAATGTTAAAAATATATAGTTATATTTATATAAGCAGGCAGTAGTATCGACTGACTAGTGAGAAAGAAAATAGGCTATTAAGATCGGTCCAAAAAAAGTTTTTTTAATTTCACTCAAAATGAGTTATTTGGTTCATAAATGACCTAAATACAAAATATTTTCTCATGGCGTCTGTCCGTCTGCCTGTCCGTCTGTAACACGATAACTCAAAAACCGCTAAACCGATTTTAACCAAATTTGGCACAACTGTGGAACCCTAGAATCTGGCCATTAGTTTAGGTGGGGGTGGGTAAGGGGGCATGTGAGGGGGTTAAACATTTTAAAAAATCGTAACTCCAAAATTACAGTAGCTAGTGAAACGCGGTTTTCAATTTAAGATTAGGAATAATATTTGCAACAAAATTTGTAATAACATCAAAATCAAAGTCGCAGTTTTTGAGATAAAAAAAATTGGAAAAATTCCTTTACTTTGAAACTAAAAGAACTGCCTACCAGCTTTTTATTAACATATTTTAGTATGGGCGGCTATACGTGCCTCCCGGTGCCAATTTTTTATCTTAAATAATCGCCTAAAACCGTCAAACCGGGTATCTTTTTAAAATAAAATAATTTAGTTAATTACAGTGTTTTACTGAACTATTCCGTCATTACAGGGAACGACTGACTTAACGCTGTTTGCCGGCAAGATGTGAATTGGCTAGATATTTCAGAGAATAACAAGTTTCACTGTTTGTCGCATACAGATATAAACATAAACTAACTTATTTACGCATATTTTTAAATTATCATGGATACATAATCTATATTGATTGTAAACAAAATAATAATGAATACCGTCATTTAACATACTTAATTAGTATTCATCTGAATTTACAATACTAATATGCATAATATTTATTAAGAAATAATGTAAAATATAATAAAATTATTACTACTGTTACCTCCGCCATAGCACACCGATTTCAGCTAGAATAAAACTGTCCAAAAATGGTAAATCAAAAGAAACGATGTAGGACAAATATGCCAAATAATTAAATATACTTCTAATTAAAAGGTGTTAAATCCTTTTTCTTAATTATATACCTCCAAATTAATTACTGCCATCATTACTGGAAATCTGCTTTGATATATGTATTTAATTTTTAAATAGGAAAATGAGATATTCAGTATTCTATCCCTTTATGATTATTTTCTTTTCTATGATTTAGACTTTTTACAGTGTGTTCTAGAATATTGGGCATATATAAAAAATGGTTTTAGATTTCTCAGAAGTTTTTATACTTAAAATTTATACGATAAAATTAATACAAATATCGACTTTAGTTCAGAGATTAAAAATGAAACTTCTACACCTTGTATCTCCGAAACTAAGCATTTTAGGACATACATTTATACGAACTTTTTTACTTATTTTTATCGGTAAAATATGCTGCCGAAGTTTCCGGAATACAATTCGGAGCATCCTGTATACAGGGTGGGCCGAACTGTATTCCGGAAACTTCGGCAGCATAAACTGCAGATAGAAATAAGTAAAAAAGTTCGTATAAATGTATGTCCTAAAATGCTTAGTTTCGGAGATACAGGGTGTAGAATTTTCATATTTATTTCAATTTTTTTCAAATAATTTCTAAAGTAACGTCAATATTTGGATGAAAATTGGTGTCTGGGAGTTTTTTCACATGAGAGATTTGATTTTGATGTCAATATGACTTCTACTAGTAGAGGGCGCCACCTACATATTTTTTAACTGGTTTGAAGAGTAATAACTTTTTGTTAGTACCTGTATAAAACTACTGAGTAAAAAAATATACATTTACGACGTTTTTACATGAAGAAGATCTCTTGGTAAAATCGCTACGAGTAATGGTTTTCGAGATATTTGGAGTCGAAATTATCAATACCTGTTATTTATCATTGACATAAATTAAACATATTGACTAAATAGTTATTAGACTAGAAATCATAAATTTGAAAAATTTTTGTGCCAAAAGTTCAACAGAAACTGTTTTATCATCATTTTTGGCAGAAAAATTTATGATTAATTTAAAAAAATAAAAATTTCCCAAATTTATTATTTCAGTGAAATAACTATCTACTCAACGTGTTTATTTTTCGTCAATAATGACATGTATTGTCTATTTCCATTCTAAATATCTTAAGAACGGTTGCTCGTAGCGATTTTTACAAAGAGATATTTTTTACGTAAAAAGTCACAGATATGTTTTCACTCGGTAGTGTTATACAGGTACGAACAAAAAGTTATTACGCTTCAAAACACACCAGACACCAATTTCCATCCAAATATTGGCGTTACTTCAGAAATTATTTAGAAAAAATCGAAATAAAAATGAAACTTCTACACCCTGTATCTCTGAAAGAAAGCATTTTAGGAACTGTATAGAAGTATAGTAGGTTGTATGTAACTATTGTAGGGTAAAATATCTCCTGACTGTAACGAAATTATATCTTATATTTCAATTATTGTAGTTATTTAGTTAGTAAGTGTTATAAACGCTGTCATAATTAATCGTTTTAATTAGTAATAGTATCTATTATTACTAGTTGATAATTCTACTATCTATTTGTTAACGTAGTAATTATAATTTTGAGTAAAGGCCTTAAATGAAACACCAAATTTATTTTTATTCCAATATTTATCATTGTTTCTTGTTAACCTAACTCTCTAACAACCCAGTTTTTTGTTCCAGACGACGCAATGATCGAGACCGCAACGATTACGAGCGCGACTACGATCGCGGTGGTTTCCGGGGCGGCGATAAGCCACGCATGCGCAGAGGCGACAGCCGAGACCGTTTCTACGACGACCGGGACTACGACAGGGGCATGCGCAGAGGTCCGCCGCCGCCGCCGCAGCAGCAGAGCCAGCAGCCGCAGCAGCAATGGGGCCAGCGAGATGGTTACTACCCGCCGTCGGATCAGCAGGCGCAACAACAACCCTATCAAAACAGGTATTGGATGTTATTCGTGAGTACGATTTTAAGAGAAATAATTGTTTATATGTTAGAACGTTTGTTGCGGATGAAACTAGGTAAAATTGTGGTGGTTGGGGCGAAAACCAATCACTTGATGAGTAGATTTATATTAGAATGGTGCTAACATGAAAAGAGAATTTTTGAGTTACAGAGCGGTATTGAAATATTTTCGGGTATAACTTTAGCAGATACATTAATTTCAACTTTTAAAAAAATGTATTTGACGGTATAATAGATTGCATGATATGAAATTTCCAAGCAAGTACTGGTATGATCTTTTGATATTATTGAATATAGTAATTCAAAAGAATTATGAGTTGAGCAAGGCAGTCATTATTAAAAAAATACCCAACCATATTCTTAGAGTACCTTAGGGAAGTTTGGATGATTTATCAGGTCCATTGCCTAGTGGTAGGAAAAATCATTTTTAGTGGTTACTATTTTATTTGGTTGTCTATAAAATACATACAATGTCTTTTAAATGTATTTGACATAATTGTCAACTTGTCAATGAGAAATAGTAAAAAAATAGTTTTATTAAATTTTGGCTTGCGTCGAAAAAATACCGGTTTGTTTTTGAATTATTGAAAACAGAAATTGACTATCTATGGATATACAAACGATTTAAACATCAAAAAGTAATGTTTTGACACTCTCAGGAATATTTTTCATATTAGAAGTGTTGTAGTAAAGTAAACGCCACGAATGTTTGGGAGTGATTCATCGCTTGATGAAGTTAGAATCGACACGCGCGCTATCATTTTTACATTAAAAACGTAAATTTTTACCGCAGACGTAGGTTTTAAAGGCCCGGTCTAATCATCTGCCTGCGCTCCTCCTACTTATTCTAAAATGTTAGCGTGATTGACAAAGACGATACCAGTTATATTTATAACCAAATATATGTTTTGACAAGATTTTGACAGTTTGCTGGAATCCTTTTGAAAGTAATTTGTCACTAATAAATATTTTTGTAATATTCATCAATAATAATAAATTTAAAATTTTATGCACAAAAACATAAACAACAGATTATATATTGATTATTATATGACTTGAAATACCACTGCACTGGAATTAAGTTTTATGTGACCTTGAACAGATTAGTTCACATGGTAGCGACCGATGAATCACTCCCAAACATTCGTGGCGTTTACTATAACTGTAAAATTATTACGTTTATAAAATTTGCAGTTACTAATCAAAGAAACATTCCACATACAGGGTGTTTCAAAACAAATGCGAAAAACTTCAGGGGGTGATTCCTTGTTCAAAATAAAGGGTAGTTTGCTTTATAAACGTTGGGTCAAAAGTCAACCATTAGGGAGATATCGCGGTACAAAGATGGCGGAAAAATAATGTGTTTATTTTTATCTTGTAAACGTAAAGTGAATTTTACGGAAGGAATTTTATGAACAACACTTTCTGGTAATTTTCGCACCTTTTTAGTTCAAGGGGTTGAAAAACCCCTATCATTATTGTTAATGAAATTTAAAGAAAAAATTTTATCAAACACATGCCGTAAGTAAAATTTTGATAGTTTATTTATATATTAACGTTTTTATTCTTTGTATTTTTTTTTGAAACTCACCGATTTGAAATTAAAAACAAAATGTAAACAATTACATGTCAGGACAAAAACATTTTTAGATAAAGAATCTAGTGGGCAGCTGTAATTTTTTAGGAAAAAATCTATTCGGCCGCTGTCACTTTTACTAGGATGTTTCTAATATTGTTTTATTTGACATTACCCTACTACAATATGTTATTATCTAGATTATTATTATTATCATTATTATCACATGTAAGCTTTACATTTTATTTTTTTAATTTCAAATCGGTAAATTATATAAAAAATACAAAAGAGATAAAAAGTTTCTAAACAAACTTAAACTATCCAAATTATTTTTTTGCATGTGTTTGATAAGATTTTGGCAAAATTTCGTTAACAAGAATGATAGGGTTAGTTTATTTCAACCCCTTCCACTCATTTTAAAAAAGTGAAAAAATTACCAGAAAGTGTGTTTTCATAACAGTAATGCTTTCATAAAATTTCATTAGTCTATCTCTTTTCGTTTTCAAGATAAAAAATAAGAACATTATTTTTCCGCCATCTTTGTACCTCGATATCTTCTTAATGGGTGACTTTTGACCCAACGTTTATGAAGCAAACTACCCTTTATTTTAAACAAGGAATCACCCCGTGCTCGGTTTTGCTATATTTCTGTTACAATGTGATTTAATTACTAGCTTCTAGACAAAATTTATTTCTACTAAAACTGAAAAATTTAATACTTTTGTGGCGTTTAAAAATTTATATTATCAAGTACTACAATAATTTTAATTACGTATTATTGCTATCTCTTTATCATATTAACGCATCAATATACTTGCTACATGTGTACATATTCTTAGTACCTTTTCTTTTCCCTCCTCACATTTCTAGTAGTATCACAAATCCTAGTAGCGGTCATAAAATAAAAAAAAATGTTTTATGTGCCTAGGTAGGCCTGTTCATTCTAGCCATATTAATATACTTAAAGTACTTTCTTCTTCATACCGTGTAGTCGTAGATTGACAATGTTTTATTATATTTGTCTAGTAGACTCTAAACCTTCAAGATTCGCTGAACTAATAATATTAAAATTTTTAAGGTTGTATAGTAAAAATATAACTTGAATGCAGGTTTTTTCTCGCGTATTAGTTACACTTATCTAATTTAGTAAATATAATAAGAAATAATGAATGGTAACCATCGCCTAAAATATTTTTTACGACAATATCTACCTGATAAACGTCAAAACTTCCCTGATCATTATAAATTGCTTGCTCCTATATTCAGCAACGATTATTAGCAAAGATGTATTAGGAAACGCCAGTTTTAAAAGATCTGTATATCATATCCAGACAAATAACGATTAGCGTTCTTAATTACAACAGTAGTATATTGTGGTATTAATTTGTTTGCTATAAGATCTCTTGTTCATCATATTCACAGTTTTATAATAATCTACATATATATATTTAACTTGATAATTCGGTAATTATACGCATGTAAATTTGACTAATAATTCCTGATTTCCACAAATCTACTGATAATTAGTATAAGAGGATTATTTACAATATTAATATATTTTAAATATTATTACGTTAGTGAAAAACTAAGTATTTGAGATATAATTTAAATATACCTAAACATTTAAAATAAATCCTTTAAATATGTTATAGATTATAGGTATGAAAAGTTGATTTTATAAGATTTATTTAAACTGTAAATACTAATCCTCTGTTATAATATTTATATATTTTTATCTATTTTATTATCGATCGTTGGTTCAACATTTTCGTATTATATTTATTTCTGGGTTTATTTATTGTTAATCTTACACAGTTTATTTATTATCTATTAAAAGGCATATCGTTGAATACATCTGGATGGAAAGTTTCTTCTGAAATATTTTATATTTGATGTATAAGGTGCATACAAGCTTGTAACAAAACTACTCAAATTATCTGGGTATAGGAAGCTATTTTGTGAAACGAAGTATGGCGATCGGCAGAGATTGATGTTTTTTTATTTATTTTTTGTTTCTTTATTTTAGTGTAATTATCGTTATTATCGTTATTTTTGACAGCTTTAAACTCAAAACGTCTTAAAATCAACTGAAATCAATTTTGAACTGAAAAATTATTAAGTGTTTTCTAGGTTCTTTTTATTTTTGAAAAGGTAGAACTCGACTCCCGTATATAGTATATGGGGCCATTCACGGCCATGGTACGTTGGACGTTTACGGAGAACCAGTGATAGCATTTTTATGAAAATTTGAATTTCTACATAAAAGCACCCTCTCCATCTTTCTAAAATATTTTTAGCATTACAGTGTTGCCGGATCATTTGAAAAGTTCTTTCTTACTTTAAATGGAACACCCAGTACATTGTTACATTTTTGAAAACTACTTTCATATCTCATAATTTTTCTATTATACTAACCTATACCTATCTCTAAATAGTTTTTGAGATAAAAAATAACATGTGTAAAATTGATAGCAACATAATCCTGAATTGGAGTAATAAGTTAACGAAAGTCGGCATATTCGATCTGTCCAAATTATAGTTTCATTTCAAGAATTTCGTTACCATGGCAATTTTAGAAATTTAGCACATAAATTCTAATTGATACTTATAAAGTTTGAATATTTGTCATGTAAAATAACATTAATTTGAACGATTTTATAACAAACGGAAATAAATATTTTTTCTGACCTCCCTGTTTGATATCAATCAGTTGATTTAGACCGATCGATTATGTCGACTTTCCTTAACTTATAAACCAAATTTTAGCTTTCAATATGCCAAGTTTCTGATTTAACCAATAATTATTCAAGATCATGTTTTTGTCAATTTTACACATGTTTTATTTTTTATTTCTAAAACTAGTAGAGATGGGTATAGGTTAGTATAATAGAAAAATTCTTAGATATGGAAGTAGTTTCGAAAAATATAATAATATACCGGCTGCTCGATTTAAAATAATAAAGGTGCTACCATTTTTAGTATGAAGCGGCAACACTGTAATGCTGAAAATAATTTAGACAGATGGAGCAGGTGCCTTTTTGCAAAAATCGAATTTTTTTCTCCATAAACGTCTAACCTGCCATTGCCGTGAACCACCCTGTAGAGTATCATATTACCTGGTGTGATGGTACCTAAATTAACTTTGTTGATAGAAATTTGTATGCACCTGATTTACAAATACCTTAAAACATAGGAAACTTAGTAAAAATTATACCTAAAAAAATTGAGGTATAAAGTTACTGAAGTTAAAGGTGTTTATCAATTTATCTAGAATATTCATAATCCGCTGATTTAGAATATTTTCATAATTTGCATGTATCTGATTCTTTTTTAGTTGAAAGTTTATTTTCAATTTATTATAAATTTTTACATTTTTTTCTTTGCCTAATTTTAGTTTAAT